GGCCTGTGGCATGGGCTATAGTCCCACTGATGGAGAATGGGGCAAAGTTCCCTTCAGTACCACTCACATGTGACGTTCAGTACACACCACCTCCTGGAAGTTATTTCCATCTGGTGATAGGGCCAGGATTTTGAGAGCAGCCAGCCAAGAGGTGCCTTGGGTTACTGCCTTAGTCCCCAAAAGACTTTGTTCCCCTGTGTTTGGAGCAGCACTGGAAGCCCCAGGTCCAGGCCTGTGGCCAGTGGCCAGTAGCAGAGTAGCCCATGGTGAGACTGGCAAGCGCTGGTCCTCTTGTCAGGTCAGGGTTTATGGAGGCCAAGCTGTGTGCTTAGATTTAGCCACCAGTGGCTAGGACAAGATAGATGTTTTGGCCCCTTTCACTTTCGCCGCTTGGGCAGGACACGTTGGAGCCTCGGTTTTTGGCCCATGACGCAGACAGACTCAGCCTGCCCAGGAGAGAGCTTGTGCTTGCAAACGGCACACCAGTCACAGTATCTGCTGTCCCTCTCTTGACCTCCCCCACACCCTCTGCACAAATAGGTCCTCCCACGCAACTGCCTGGGGGTGTGTTTCACACCATGTGCTGGTGCTGGGGTTCACTTCCGCATGTGCTGTACATTCAGGACTTTCCTGGGCTTCGGCTCATCTTATGCCACCTTGCAGGGTCCAGTGCCTGCCAGGCTGCCTGGCTCCAGCCACCCTTCTGTGGTGGTATTCTCTGCCTGTGTCTGCGTCTTGTGTCTGCCAGGACCTGCCCTCCAGTACAGGCTGTCCCCAGCCCTTGTCTCTCGGATTTTCACTTGGCTCCTGGCACTGTATTGTGTCCTTGGAGTATTTGTTGTTACTGTGAGGGCCTTGTTTGGAGGCAGCTCTGCCCCTCCCTGGGGGGAGCTGCCCAGGTCCCCTAGGAAGACCCTGAGGGGAGCTGCTCACTGGCTCTGGGGAAGCTCCTCTGGAAGGCTGGCCCATCATGGTCAGTGCTGGGCTGTGCTGGGCTGAGCTGTGCGCGGCCCTGTGGCTAGAGGAGCCTTTTCCCAATGAAAACCCTAGAAACTTTCCACCGACCCATCCCACCACCCACCCAGTACACTTTCAGATTTATTTGTGATGTGGGCTATTGATCAGTTCCATGGTTTTATGTCTTCTTAAAGCTCCCCAAGATTGAAAATTCATCCCTTCCTTAACAGGCGTTGAAATGTCCCAGTATTTTGGCTCTCAGTAGACTTCTCCAACCTTTTTCTCCAAGCCTCTCATCTTATGCTTGCCACTGAAACACCCTTGACCTTGTCCACTCAGGCTTGTCATGTGACATCAGGCATGGCTGTGCCTACTTGGGATTTGGATGGCGCACCCAAGAATGTTCGACATCACAGGTCCTTTGAGGTGTTCCTTGGTCTTTTCTTATCCTTGGTGTACCGTCATCCTTGTGACATCATCTTCATCCCAGTGAGAGCTGGGGCTCACTGAGCCTGCACTTGGTGTTGAGATTGGTGCTGCCTGCTTCTGGGACCCATGGCACCCTCTCCAAGAAGACCCTAGGGAGTGTGGCTGAGGCTGACCCTGAAGCCTGGGCAGTTGCTCAGATTCCCGTAATTCATAGACTGAACTGGAAGTCACATTCAAACCTGTCTTATTGTATGGTTGAGGTTCTCCTCCATGGCTGATGGAACATTTATGTGCTGTCTTTCTGAGTGATAGGGACACCTTCACTGTTTACAGAGTGGCAAAGTTGTTTGCTGTGTTTTGGGAGACTACCCGGCCATCATGAATAATGATGATAAAACCCAGCATGTTGTTGTTGTTGTTGTTGTTGTTTTAAGATCTGTGGTGCTGGGGCCTGTGGCAAGTGAATGTATCAGTGAAACTGCGTGTTATAGCACACTACCATGCTGATCCCCATTTTTGCAGATGAGGAAACTGTGGCTCCCTAAAACCTCAGCAGCTTGCCCAGGGTGACACAGCTAAATAGCATCTGTCAAGGCATGTGGATGCTTGTGGTCTCTACTCTTAGGAGCGAGGCTGTACTTCCAGCCACTTTGCTGCTGTGGACAAGAAGTGAGACTCGCTTTTGCTTCAGTGCCTCTCTCCTAGCTGCCCTGTTGCTTAGCTCTTGCTGTTTCCTCTTGGTCTGTGCCTGCATGCCCTGTTCTTTCTGAGAAGCCTAGTGTGGGTCTCCTTGGTAGCCTAAAGGCGCCTATTCATGCTGAATTTATCTCATACATGGGCTCATCAGCTTAAACTTTTTATGAATTTAAAATTAGTGATCTAGATGGCAGTGGTAGACTCATTTGTCTATCTTATTTCTGACCAACAGAATGGAATAGGGAGCCCTAAATCAGATGCCTAACAATCAGAAGGGTTGATTTACAACAAAGTTGCCACCGCTGAGTATTGGGCTATGGCTGGTCACTTTGATAAACAGTGCTGGGTCAGCTGGGTGTCTGGAAGCAAAGAAATGCAGCATGACAGCATACAAAAGTAAGTTCCAGCAAGAGCATCCCTCTGAACATAAAAATTAAAACACAACAACATTGAAAAAAGTTTTGTTTTTAAAGATCTGTTATTCCATCAAAAGGCTGAGTTACAAAGAGAAGGAGAGACAGAGGGAGTGAGTGAGAGATCTTCCATCTGCTGGTTCATTCCCTAAATGTCCACGACAGCCAGAGCTGGGCTGGTCCAAAGCCAGGAGCCTAAATCTTCTGCTGGGTTTCCCATGTGGGCTCAGGAGCTTAGGAAGTTGGTACATCTTTCCTTGATTTCCCATCAGCAAAGAGCTGGTTGGGAATTGGAACATCCAGTATACAAACCATCACCCATATGGGATGCTGGTGCTGTAAATGGAGGATTGATGTGCAGTGTCACAGAGCTGGCCCAAAAACACCAAAAAAATTTCTTCTAGTCAATAACACCTGCATAAACTTGGAGTAGCCAGTAATTTCTATAAGACACTAAATATAAAGGAAAAGTTCAGTCAGTTGGATGATATTAAAATGAGAAACTTTTTTTTAAGAGATTCTGCTGATTTATTTGAAAGAGAGAGACAGAGGAACCGAGAGCTCTTCCATTATCTGGATCTCTTCTTGCATGGAGGAGCCTGAGCACTTGGGCCACCTTCTGCTGCTTTTTCCTGTCATCAGCAGGGAGCTGGATCATCAGTGGAGCAGTAAAGATATGAAAAATGCCCATATAGGATGCTGGCATGACAGGTAGCAAGTTTACTTGCTCTGCCACAACCCTGGCCCCAGGAGGACCAGGACCTCAGCAGAATAGAATAGAAGCAAGCCAAAGAGAAGATACCTGCAGAGCGCTTTGTTGATAGGTGTATTTAGGTACACAGTCTGCCCAGAGTTCCAGCAAGTCCTAAGAAAGAGAACCCCTGTGCCCATGCTTGGGATTTGTGAGCTGTAACTTTTCTTCTCCCAATCCCAACATGTCCTGGATCGTCGGCACAACCTGGTGGCTGTCCCTGGGAACTGTCTCACCAGGTGGCTATCTCCATGTCCCCCTGTGCATGGCCTGCAGGCCTGTCCTTCCCCTCAGCGCTTTCTTGGGCCATCAGTGCCCTCTTTTGCACCAGTATGTCTTGGCCTTTCTCCTTGGTCTCATTAACTTTTGATCAGCTCTGCTGAGAATATTTCTCTCTCCTCTACACCCCAGCCCCCTTTCTTTTTCATTTCCCCTTTCACACCTTCTTGTTTAGCCTGAAATCTTGTGGCTGTAGAAGCTATCCTAAAATATCTCAGAGTCTTGGGGGGCAGTAGCCTTGACCTGTGAGGCAGCAGAGGCCAATTCCTGACAGCAGGGTCATCTCATCATCTCACTTCTGTTGTCTGGACATGGCAGTGTCACCTTGTCCCTGTTGTCTGATTCCACCAGAGGTGGGGTGGGAGGATGGAGCTGGCAGAGGCCAGGCAGCAGCTTGGTTGTGCTGTTGGGCAGGGAGGGCCCGTGCCTTTGAGTGGGCAGCTGGACTAGGATAATCCCTTCTGGTTTCACCCTCATAGCCCTGAGCAGCCCCTCTGTGTTTCCCAAGCAGCAGATCTCAGGAGAGAGAGAGAGAAAGCCAGGATAGCTGTGGAGTCCACCTGGTCCAGGTGGGCCACACATGAGCCCTTGTGCCTCCATGTAGGGCTGGCTGGCAGCTATGACTGACCAAAGGTTTAGAGTGCCCTGATTTTCCCCAGAGACACCTGCATGGTAGTCAGGTTTTCCTCATTTCATTGTCATCATCTGTCATCATCATCTTGGTTTGTTTTATGGAATTTCTCATTCTGGCCACGTTTGTTCTTCTTTTTCATCACAAACGGTCTTATGGACATGCTAGGACTCAGCGACTAAAACTGGAAGCTCTGTGTAGCGATGTTTTGACTTTTAACATTTTTGGACAGTATTTAAAACTCAGGAATGTCACATAACAAGATTTGAGTTCCACCTTGCTCTGAAAAACGGGGTAGTGTAGACCCTTTGGGTCTCTGTTCCTGGGTAGCCGTGAGCAGGCTGAGCCAGGGTGGGTGGGAGCTGCCCAGCTGGAGTAGTATGTTCCTATCGCTTCCCACATTCCCTACCCCCTTCTGTTGCCCCCCCTTTTAAAATTACCTGTCTGCTCCCCAAAGGCACTGGAAAGGATGACTTGTGAAATGGACATTTGTGAGCCAGCATGGGAACCCAACAGTGTTTGCTACTTTAATGGGATTCCAGTTTTGAAAGTACAGGTTTTTTAATTTATTTTTTTATATTTTTTAAAGATTTATTTATTTATTCTTATTACAAAGTGAGATATACAGAGAGGAGGAAAGACAGAGAGGAAGATCTTCCGTCTGATAATTCACTCCCCAAGTGAGCACAACGGCCAGTGCTGCGCTGATCCTAAGCTGGGAACCCGGAACCTCTTCCAGGTCTCCCACGTGGGCGCAGGATCGCAATACTCTGGGCCATCCTCAACTGCTTTCCCAGCCCTCAAGCAGGGAGCTGGATGGGAAAGTGGGGCTGCCGAGATAGAACTGGCGCTCATATGGAATCCCGGCGCGTTCAAGGCGAGGACTTTAGTTGCTAAGCCACTGTGCCAGGCCTAGTACAGGTTTTTTAAACACCCAACAATGTCTACCTGGGGGGATACTTGAGGCCCTCATCTGGAATGTGGGTGTGGCTAAGATCCTTGTCCTGGACTCCTCCTGTGCTGCTATTTTGCCCTGGCACTTAGTAGGTGCTTAATAAATGATTTACCTCCTGGGATCACCAGGCACCTCCAGGGGTCACTGAGCCTGTGCTCCTCCCAGGCAGTAAACAGAAAGGCCACCTCCTTGTGGCTCTGGGCCTGCGCGTTCCGCCTGAGACCGGATTGCTGCCTGATTTATCTGGAACACCCACTCCTGCTCTAGATAGCCAGGCAAGGTTTGGAATCTGTCTCCTGCACAGCTGCCCTATCTCGATAGCACAATTTCTTTCACTGAGTGAAGACCCAGTCCCTGTAGAGGCCAGCCCAGGTGGAGCCTGCTTCCTCGGCAGATGCCCGGATGCCCACTGGAGCTGTGCCCTGGACAAGGACAGGTCAAAGTGCAGCTTGTCCCTTTTAAGAAGAAAAAAAAAATCCTCTGTCTTTGGCCTCACTGAAAGTTCTGACACGGCTCAGTTGGAGGCCATAGAGGGCTCATGGTTCCTGCAGAGTTTATTTAGTTCCTGGGCCTGGAGTGGTAGAGAAGCCTGCTAGAGCCTGTGCCCTGCTGGTTCCGAGCTGAAGTCCTGCCCTTTCAAGGCAGTCCTGGCCCGGCCTCCCCGGGCCTGTGAGGGTGAATGGAAGGAGCCAGCACCTTCCCGCTACAGAGTTATCTTTGCCCCCTGAAATCAAACACTGCGAGCGGCACCCTGGTGAAGCCGCTTCCTCGTGTTCGTTAAGTAAACATCCTCCCCTGGTTCTGGAAAGGAATTCGTTTCTGCTTCCTGGTCATCCCATTAGATTTTTTTTTTTCCCCTTTCTGTTCCCAGTGCCCCACAGAGTCAGGTTAATAGGAGGAAGACCTAGAATTGGGCATAGGCGCCCACAGTGACTGTTGTAATCCTAGTACGACTGTACAAATGGTAATAGGGTCGTGGGAAGGAAAAGATCTTGATGGAAAGTGCAGTGACACAAAGTCTGCCCACGCACGGTGGCGTCCTAAGGCTTTGCAGCTCACCGTTGGTCCATGCCACACCCCAGCCCAGGACATACCTGTGCCTGCATTCAAGCTCAGCTGGCTCATGGCCATCAGCCCACCTTTGGCCAGCCGCTCTCGGCCAGTCCTAGGCTGCATGTGTCCGTCCCCTGACCCTGCCCTGCTCTCACTGTGTCTCTCCTGACTGATTTGCCTTAGCTCTCTTACTTCCACCCACCCGTGACATCTCCATTGCCATGGCAGTGAGCAGCCACGTCATTCAGCGAGTCTACAGGGTGATGGGCCAGTCCTGTGCAGGGCCCGCTGCTCTCTGGTTCTAGCTCCTGAAGGAGGAGGCTCCCTGGCAGAGCACAGAGCCCTTTGTTTATTTGATCCTGGGCTCTTGGATAAATCAGGAATGTCCTGACATGAACTTAGGCATGTTTTTCTTCCATGGAGAAGGAAACTGCGGCAAATGGGATCTCAGCAAGCAGAGGACCATTGCAGGGAACTTGCTTTGGTGCCATCAAGGCCACATTCCTTTGGTCATCAGACCAGTAGGTGACTTCTTTATTGGCATGCTCAACCCTGGAGCCCAGAAGGTGTGAATTTGAAGCACTTTCCCCCCTGCTGGGAGTCTGGCATGGAAGGCCCTTTTAAAGCTGGTGCTATGGGCATCTTCCAAGTGGTCCTCCATTCTGCCGGGCAAAAGCTTGGGCCAAAGGAGTTGCTTGAAGGAGGTTTGGGATGTGGGTAGGAGATAAGGCAGCTGGCTGCCTGGTCTGTCGTTCTCCCATCATCCCTCTGGAAGTTGCGGGGTTCTTGGAGGGCTCTTTGAGAGTCAGCCACCTCAGGACCCCAGTGGGTCTTGCCTTTCTGGCCAGGCCAGGGCTCAGGAGGTGTGACTGGTTGTGAACAACCTTTGTGGTCTACATTCTTTGGACGTAGAGGTGTGGGAAAGAAGGCTTCCTGGGCGTGTCTGGCTATGTAGGCTCCAGTGGATTAGCATCAGAGCTGTGCTGGGAAGCATTTTTTGAGTCTGGGGTGGGGGGATGGAGAAGAGAGGGGCAGGAAAATGTTGAGAGCCATGAACTTTGCTGCCCTGGAAACCTGTCCATATCCAGAGCAGAGTCTCCAGATGGTTTCCCATCCGGGCCTGCCCCGCGTCGCGGGTCTGGAGTGGCTGCTTGGTGCCCACTTTCCATGCGTGCTTGTCCCAGAGAAGAGAGCCCAGTCATTGGCCATTGCAGGCCTAGGCCTGGCTGTCGCTGTGTTTTGCTGCTTTTCTTGTTGTGAGGAGGATCTTCTTGGGAACAAATGACTCAGCAACCTGGATCTTGGAGGCTGTGTGGCCTGGGTGTGTGGCCTGAGTGTCTGCTGAACAGTAACTGGACGGAGATACCTGGGCCCTACCATGATGGGCCTGGGGAAGAAACGGAGAACCAGACTGCTCTCCCTCTGGACTCTCCAGGCTCTGAGGTTCAGTTTGGTTTTTCCAAATTCCTGTGCTGATAGCAGGATCTGACTCGTGGGGTAAGCAGGCAATGTTTTAATTATGCTTTTTGTCCTTAGGAAATTCCAGGGAGAAAAAGGTCCTGGTGTGCAGCCAAAAAAAGCCAAAAACAACAACAGAAATGAGCTGCGGCTATAATTCTGGACTTGTCTGTGGTGGAAAGAGTTAAGGGGGTGGTGGTCCCAGGGCAAGGACCACTTCCCCTTGCTGAGGGAAGCCCCTGGGTCTCAAGAGAAGATGATGCAACGTTTAGCAGGGAGCAGCCCTGTCTGGGCTCTGGGGGCTGCCACTGTAAGAGTTAAGTGAGTGTTGTGGCTGCGAAGCCCTCAGGGAAGGACCTGGTCTGGAGGGATCGGGACCTGCCAGCCCTAGGGCGGTGAGGTGTGGGGGACAGTGGGGTGAGGAGTGTGGCTCTGGAGGCAGAGTATGGACCCAACTTTTTTTTTTTTTTTTTGCCTTGTTTGACCAGCCTTGGCACTGCCCTCCGGCTCTCCAGGGGAAAAGCTGCAGTTCTGCTCTTGCAACACAAGGAGCAGACTGGAGAATTTAGATCTGCGTCACAGAGCTCAGAGAGAGAGAGAGAGCAAGCGAGCGAGCGAGCAAGCTCCGTGGATAGGTCTGCTAGCAACAGCCGTGCTGCAGCAGGGAGAGAGAGAAATGAAGAAACAAGTCATAGCAACACCGGGCACCAGGTTCTGCCAGATCACTTGCCAAGCGTTCAGAAATCTGTCGGGGGCCAGAGGCCTCTGGGTAGCCTTGGCTAAGGCGATGACACGCAAGGTGGCACGGGCGGTTCCCACAGGGAGGAGGTGGGGGGTAGGGGTGGGAGCAAGAGGTTGCGGGGCGACGGTGGAAGGTTGAACAAGACCAAATTCTGGAACATTCGGGACTGCGGCACATTACGGCCAGACCAAGATTTGGGTCTGCGCAGGCAGCGATGGGTGGTCCGACAGGCTTCAGGACTTGATGGCGTCACCCCCTTCGTTCCCCCATGTACGTATTTGCTGGGATCCGGGGCGCTGTCTCTGCATATGTGGGTGCTCTTTCTTACCTTCTTTCTCTCTCTTTGCCATTTTTTTTTCTCTCGGAGGATTTTTTTCCCCTCACTTTAATTTCTTTTTCCTTCGTGTCAGCTGCTCAAGCCTGACCAGGGGTACAGGGATGGGAGGAGGGAACTGTCCCTGACTTCCACCTGACCTCCTAGCTTTTATTCCATTTCCTTCCAGTGGACAGACAGGCAGACAGACAGACAGGTTTGCCAGCTTGCTGGTGGTGTCAGCGTCCATCTGTCTGGGCAGATCGAATGTGGAAGGCAGGGAGGAAGGAGGCAACATATTGAGAGGAAGGCGAGAGGCAGATTTTCCAGGGGTTCCCTTGCTGGAATGTTGGGTCCTGGGACTCGGGCTGGCAGGGAGTGGGTGGCCAGGGTGAGGTGTGGGCTGAGAGAAGTGGGGCAGAGCTGAGAGGTTTGTCACTGCGTAGTTGGAGAAAGTGGAGGCTGGTGACGCAGTCACTGTTGCATCTTGGTAGGAGCTCTGTGGGGACAGGTAGTGAAGCTCCTGGGGTCTGTGGGGCCGGCTGAGAGTGGCCGAGGATGAGCCAAGAAGGGAAGCTAGCATTTAGAGATTAAATGTCATCCTCTTGGCGTTGGAAAGTTGTTTACCTTGTGCTCTCTGTGTCTCCATGTTGGCTCCCTTCCAGTTCACATGTGATGGCCTTCCCTGTACTGCTGCATCATTAACTAAGTGACTGAGCTGGCCTTCCATTGGCCAGGGGAGGGCTCTCACTCCAGACACTTCCTCTGATTGGTGGGCGGGCCGATGGCAGGTGAAAAGCTTTTTCTGATTGGCTGAGGACTGGGTATCAAATCTGAATTTGCATTTCACTTGCTTAAAGGGGAGGAGGGAGAAGCCCAGCAGCTTTCTAAAATCTCTTTAGGGGTGTGCGTAGGCTCAGTGTCTATGCCTGCCTCTGACTGCCCAGTTGAAGCTTCTTCCTGGGCCTTTTAAAATTTCCTGCACCATGAGGAAGAAGGGCTCAGACTGTCCCAAACTTTTTTTCTCTTTTCTAGAGAGAGAAAGGTTGGGAGATACGGGTGCGTAGAGGGTTAGCCAGGTTGGAGGGAGGTGTTTGCCCTTTAGTTTGGTGTCGGAAGAGGGAATTTTCCAACCGGCCACACCTCTGTGTTGCGGCAAAATAATTCTTGGCTCCCCTGGAAACGCACGGCAAAGGTAGGGCAGAGTTGCTACTGCTGTTACTGCTGCCACCCTGAGCTTCCTGCTGCCTCGGGGCCATTCCCTAGGGACCAGAGATTTGCATTGACGTCTGGGCCTGTCCGAGGTCCTCTCAGGAGCCAGGCGTGTGATGAGCCCACTGTGGGAAGGATCTGCCTTCTAGAAGCTGCTGCTGCCTGGTGCTGGGAAAGGTGAGGATGGAGGCCAGCCTTGGGACCATGCTCAGGAACTGCGTATGGGGTGGACTTTCTAGAAAAGCCCATGGGTGGGAGGCAGCCAGCAATCTGGAGGTCCCGGGCTAGAAAGGGTTGTCAGTCTGGGGACAGACTAGAGTGAGAGTAAAACTAGGGCAGCAGGCTGTTGGCTCTGGTGGGGGTGGCAGGGGAGACCTGAAAAATTCAGGGTCCTAGCTCTCCAGCCTAGCCCCCTTGAAGGTCCGGTGTTTGTGGGGAAGGGGTTTCTCAAGTCCTGTGCCATGCGCAGTGGCCCCCGCCCGTGACTGCGCATCTAGGAGCGCAATGCGCCCTGGGTCCCTGGCCCGGGACGAGCACCGCCCTTCCCGTTACATAACGGAGGGCATGGCATGTGCCTTCTCGGCCCTTTCTTGCAACCTTACCTTCTGGATCCCCAGGGCAATGGGGTTGGGGTGGGGGGCTCTGACTGAGGAGCAGGGAAATTTGCACTCTTCTCCCGTGTTGACAGTAGGTCAGTTGGAGCATAGATATGATTTGTTGTCCCCGGATGGAGGATGCCCTTCTGAAGGCCCTGGGTCACCTATGGGAAAGAGGGTGGCGCCCTTCTTTCCCTTGCGTCCCTTCTGAGTTTTAAAGGCTGGTCTCTCAGGAGAATGGTCTGATGGTTGTCAGAGTAGGGGCAGGTGTGATGGACCAATAGCAGAAGGCTGACAGTCCCCTGGAGTCCCCAGGTCCCAGTGGCTGCTCTTTTCCTTGGGTGGGTCCCTGATCCTTCTGGTTTCCTCCATTGGCTGCCATTTTGGAAGCATTTTTGTCAGGCTCCGGCTTGGTGGCGTTGATGTTTCTGGTCCTGCTGTGCCAGTTCCGCAGAGTGGGCGGGGGGCGGGGGCGCTGGCTGGGGGGGGGGCGCAGGCGCAGTAGAGATGGGGCAGCAGCTGCTGCCGCAGTGAAGGTGGCCCCTGGGGCAGGACCGCCCAGTCTCACCCTCTGTCATGGTCTTGGATGGGGGCTCAAGTGCAGGCTTCTGCGTAGGAACTCCAACACTTTAGGGCACCAGCTTTGCCGAAGCGTGAGCATTGGGTTTCCCACGCCCCCATCCACCTGGAGCTGTGGGCTTCTGATGTCAACATGCCTTGGGGAGAGGTGGGAAAGGGGAAAAGCATGGCCCCCCACCTTAGATACATCAGACCTGAGGTTTGTGTTCCTGAGTGGGCCGTGTCTCTGGCTGCCTTGCCACAGGAATAGGCAGTGAGATCCTAAGCAGCTTGGAAGATTGCTTTGGAAGGCCGTGCTCTTGTTGTCTCCATCCTCCGTGTGTCCCTGGTGCCCCCTCCTGTGCCATGCTTCCAGCTGTTGTCCTCTGGTGGGGCTCCCTGCTGCCTGTCCTTCTATCCAAGCCCTTCTGCGTGCAGCGGCCATCTTGTCTTTCTCAGAGATGTAAAATGGTCTCTCCTCCCTCACAGAATAAAATGTCTCCCCTTTGCTCCTTGCTCAGACTGTCACTGGCTCTTGCATTCCTGCTGGGTGGAACTTCTCTCGCTTTCCTTAGATGGACCATAAAACCAGGTCTTTTTCTCATGTTTCCTATGCCCCTGGGCTCAGCTGGGGTGGTCTCCCATGGTTCTCCCACTGCTGTACCCACCTGCTGCTGTCTCCCCTACCCTCTCCAAAAACCCATGCAAGGAACAACTTTCATACCCAGCTCCGTTCCGTCAGCCAGAACCTGGTGCCCCTTTGGTGGCCCTTCTGATGGGTCGGGGTTCTGTGTGGGCTGTCCCCTGCCGCCTCTTGGATACGCGCTCCAGGAAGGAGGCTGAGGAAAGAAGGAAGAACGCACATACATATTTGGTGCCTGTCGTCTGCCAGATACCATGTTAGGCTCTCACTAGTGATTCTCTTTCTTTCTTTCCCATGGCTGGTAAGTGGCCACTCATGGTTGGAGCCCCGGTCTTCAGAAATCTTTGCGTTTTCTTTTATGCGTCCTCAGGGTTGGTGAGATGCCTGGGAGGAGGTGGCTCCTGGTGATGAGTCTGTTTAGAGTTTGTGTGTCCTGAATGCCGTGTGGAAGCCGGGGGGCCGTGTGCCTGTGTCCGTGGCTGGGTCACTTAGCTCTTCCTTTCCTGCCAAGCTCTTTAACCTCTATTCTTCCCTGTGACTAGTCTCACACAAGATGATGGCTTCTTTCATAGCTGAGATTGAGGAATTGACAAACTTCAGTTCTCCTGGTTGTCTAGCTGTCCAAAAGGAAGCAGCGCACATGGTTCCAGGGCAGGGTCCGAGACCCTGGACCCGGACAGGTCTTGTGCCAAGCTTCTCTTAGCTTAGTCATTTCAGAGACGCCATTAGATTTCCCTATGTCCTCATGTTCCGGGTCGGTGAGATGGAGCCACATCCACCTGTTCCATGGGAATTCCTGGGAGATAGGATGTGGCCCTTCTCTTCTTCCTTGTGGCTTGTTAAGGACCTAAATGATGGGCAGGGAGGGGGACTGCACTGCAACTGGAGGAAAAGGGTGCTGGGTGTTGTGTGCTGTGGGGAGTGGTGTCACAAGCAGAGGCAACATGCATGAGGTGATATCCTGCCACCCCTTTACCCCATGGTGCTATGGCCATGGAGTAGTAGCAGGAATGGTGGTGGCAGGGTGAGGGTTAAGCAATGAGCTGGGATTCTTTTGGTGCTAGGTTTGCTTCCCTTCCTCCTGCATCGCAGCCCTGGCTGCCCGCCTCCTGTCACTCCAGTCCCGTGGGACACAAGGTGGCCAACCCAAAGCCCCTCGTCACCAATTCCCGGTCGCAGAGCAGAGTGACGGCAGCCAGCCACTCATCATTCGACGGCAGTGGGGACCCTGGTGACGGCTGCTTTGTTGTTTTTTTCCTCTTTGGAAGATGACTCAGTGTGTTGGGAGCCGGGAGATGGAGCTCTCTGCCGAGTGGCCAGGATGTTCTGTCAACATGAAAGCAGCAAAACAGCTCATCGGGGTTCAGAGCTGATCCTCTCTGCCTGGGGTCATTTTCAGGGAGGGCTGGGCAGAGAATGCCAGCCCCAGCGCGCTGGCCTGGCCTGGGGATGATGCCAGGTAACCGGACAGGACGCTGCAAGCTCTTGAATTTTAGAGACTGACCAGGAAATACAGCTGTGTCGTCAACGAGCTTGGCAGACAGAGTCATTTTCTGACCTCTTCTCCCTGGTCCCGAAAGACAGACATTTTCTCAGGGCTAAAGAGAAAACCTGTTGGGATTCCTCGCTGTGGCTTATCTGTGGTGGTCATCCCTTGTAGCACATGTGTGGGACAGGCAGAGGGGCTGAGCACTGACCGCCTAGGACGCCAGGAGCAAATGCCTTTATAGGGATTCGCGTCTTAGGTGTCCTATGCTTGGCATTTTGTGAAGCAAGTGGGCCCTCTCGCTGACTCTCGCCTGAAGGCAGCCTCTGCTCTGTGCTTGGTGGTCCTAAGCTGAAACTACCCCTTCATCTTCCTCCTTTCCTTCTTTGGTGCAACAGTGGACCTTGAGTTTTTGACCTTTTTCTTTCTTTTTTGCGCATCATCATGGCGGCTCGGGTTCTAGACTCTTCTTGATTCTGCAGCATTGCGCCACGGGCGCGTGATCCCCCCCGGGCCCCGCCCCGCCCCGCCCTGCCCCGCCATGTTTTCTTGAGCATGAGAGAGAAGAGGTGCCTACTTTTGTGGCCACTGCATCTGGATCTAACTGCGAATGCCCTGCTCACCTGTGCCCCCCAGCCAGCTGCTCCTCCTGGCTGTCCTATGTGTCATGCTCCACACTCATGCTCTCCCAGAGGGGGTGCTAGCCCTGACATTTGTCACTGGGCACTCCCTCCTCTTCCCTGAGGACCTCTCTGAGTGACTCATTTGGGATCTCTGGTAAGAATGACTCCTGGGCCCAAGAGCCATGACCGAGATCATGGCTGTGAGGGAATCAGGGAAGGGGGTGGGAGCCAGGCATCCCACCCATAGCTCAAGGGTGGCCACAGCCGTAGCATGTCATGTCTTTTTGAGCCTGAGCACAGAGTGACTTGACCTAAACAGATGGCTTCGGTGTGGCCTTTGGGAACTTGGGTGTTGTGTGTTTCTTCATCCTGAAGTGTACACAGGAAGTATCACGAGACTCTGCTTTTCTCAAAGAGGTGACAGACAAGCCCTCCTCGGTTAGCCTCTGTGCCCAGTGGCTGGCACCAGCCTTTCTCCAAGATGCTGGGCCTGCACCTCTTGGGCTTCTGTTACTGCCTAATGGACGTAGCTGTGGGTGGACCAAGGCCCAGCGGTTGCACCTCTGGCCCAGCAGGGATCCTGGTGAGGGTCTGTGCAGCTCGCTGCTCAGTGGGCCCTGTGAGCTGCCCCACTTGCCTCCCTTCTCTCATTCTTGCAGAGCAGTCAGGAGAGTGTGTTTCACTGCGTGAGTGGGTGACAACCTCTTGGCAGCTCAGGCTCAGCTGCGGTGATGCCAGCGTACCGAAGAGAAGCCGCCACACTGCCGGATGGAGCGGCTCACTTGCATTTATTTGGAACAGAGAAAGGAGCCTCCTGGCAACCCCACTCTGCAGTAAGTGTTCCTCTACATTCTTGTACATTCTTTCATTTCTTCAAACCTCGGAAGTGGATAGATGTTTATTGAGCCTGGCCAGCTGCTGTGCCTTCTCCATTCTCCTCCTGTGTACCCCTCCCTGAATCCTCCAGGAGAGAGGGATAGATTGATTTCTGGTGCTACTGGAGAGCTACAGAGAGGATTCAGTGTTCAGCCCCCACACATCCTTTGGTGTTGGGAGAAGTTGATTCTCCCTAAAATGGAGTCAGCAGCCTGCGTCCCTTGGTGTGCTATGTCAAGGGGCCACACGAACCCTGTGTGCCCCTGGCCCCCAGCAGGGAGGTGAGACTCATTGTTGACTGGCTGCAGGAGGATGGTCCTTGCCAGAACCTAACATGCTTCTTTGCCAAATTCTAGCTCCAAATCTCTAGGCTGGTAGGGACCTAGACTATATATAGCATTGTGCTAAGAAATTCTTATCAGACATGTCCGCCCTCTCTTGTGGAAGAAGAGTGCTTCTATCAGAGAACTGGAACCTAGAGAATGTGAGCTGTCTCCAAGGGTCTCTTACTCTGGGAAGCATGTTGCGTGTGCATGTGTGTCTGTGTGTGCGCGCGTGCTTGCATCAGGGTCAGGGCTGCCCAACTTAGCTTTCTAGCCCCTGTTTCAGATTCTGATGGATTCCAAGACCATGCCAACTGTGGGTACTGCTGTGTAATGGGGTGAGGCAGGCTGAGTGTTCTCTAGGGCACAGTGGACTTAGAGGGACAGAGTTTCTGGATGCATGGCGCAGTTGGTTGTGCCATGCGTCAGAGACCAGCTTCCCAAGTCTCTGCTCTGTTTCCTGTTTGCCTTGCTTTTGCCCTAGCATGTCTCTTGGCTTTACTCTTCCTTCTTTCAGACCTCTTGCGGCTTCTACCTTCCTCTGTTACTTCCTTGAGGATATTTGAGGGTATAGTCAGCTGCTGGTATCCATGACCTGGCCCTTCTGTCTGCCCTCATCCTTGTTGGAGGTTTCTGGAGATGGAGAGGGGTCGGGTCAGTCAGCCCACAGAGGGAGTTGGTGGCGCATGAGGGTGTGGTACAGGGTAGTGAGAAGACCGGCAGTTGGATGGCCTCCCCTTCCCATAGGGATGCTGTTGAGCCAGCAGCCTGTGTGGCTCAGTGACCATACGTGTTGACAGATGCAACAAAATCTGATTCTTGTCAGTGAATCGTCACCAGGCAGCTCACTCATTGGAAAGCAGATGCAGCAGGAAAAATAGCATCTTCCTGCCTCCTGGCCTCCCAGGTGAGTCAGGTGTGACAGTGCCCTGTGGCCTTTCCTGTGAAGGTCACCTTCCTCACTGCTGGGCATAGATTTTCCAACTTCTCCATTCACAATCTCCTAAACAATCGCTCTCTTCTTTGCATTCTCCTACTCTTGGCTTTTCTGTGAATGAGGTTGGTTACAAGCATAGCCTTGGGGGAAGGGTGCCCAGCTGAGGGATGTGTGGGAGATGGTTGGGCAGCTCAGCTACTGCTGCCGCTGGGCATAGCACTGGCCAAGCATTGGACCTCCCACAGTAAGCAAATGGAAACTGTCCTTGGTCCACAGCAGCCAGGCGTGAGACTCTGGGTTTAACCCCTTGGTTGTCCTGGAAGCTGGCCTGGACTCTTCTCTGTTCCTTCTCACTCCAGTGCCCTGTAACCTTGATGGGTCCTTGTCCAGGGCCATGGTCTGAAGTTCAGATGGGGCTGAGGGAGGAGCTCTGGGACATCCCCCTGTTTGTGGACTTTGCTTTCTGAATAACTCTCTTTGTCCAGGCTCTCATTGCCTTTGCCTTACAAATAAGATCCGGGCTCCAGCCATGGCCGAGCATGTCTGGGCTGTTGACGAGATGCTTTTGCTCTGCCTTACTTGTCGCTGGTCTGAGTGATAGTAGGAACGATTAAAGATGTTGACAACATGAGGTGTGGGTGAGGTCTGGTGGGCCAATTCAGAAAACAGACTGTGGGTGCTCACTATGCCCCCGGAGCCTCCCTGCCCATCAAGAAGGTGACTGCAGTATCCTTGGTCTGTAAGGCTGATTGGAGCCAGCCAGGAGCATGTCTACCTGGGGTTCAAAGATGAAAGGGTCTTCTAGGTGATTTGAAGAGGCACTTCCAGTGTCAGTGCAGGCATCCCTCTCCTGGTGCTGCTGCCTGTGCTCACGAGGGAAAGCTAGCACATTGCCTAACAGGGTTTCCTCCTCCCCATTTGGGATGAGTCTGAGTTGGGCCTAAATAGCCTGAGACACTGGCCAGTTTGAAGGATGCTAAGCAGTCTGGGAAAGTGAAACATTTCTTTCTTCAAGATACTTGAGCATCTTGTGGTGAGAGGTAGTTGGAGGGTTGGAGCTGGGGCAGGAAAACAGAGGAAAAGTCAGGTTGGCTGCAGGTACAGGGGGCAGACGAGGCCCCCCAGGACATGAGCGATGGAATCTGACCACTGCTGGTCTGAGCTGGGGCCTTGGCTCTCACACAGGTGGCATGTCTGTAGACCTGGCTCTGCCTGACCCCCACGCCTGCTCAGAGCCCCATCCTTGGCTAGATCAGGAGTATTGCAGTGGGATGTCACCGGGGAATTGGTTCTACTTCTGGTCACCATGCTTGCCCCTGGGGCTTGTTTGTTCCCAAAGTTGGGGTTGGAACTGGCCTGCTGATTTTCCTATTTTTGTCCCTTCTCTAGTTCTTTGCACCCTCTCACCAGCCTGCTGGCTCCTGCTGCCATGACACTGGGCATTGTGTACTGCCAGTCAGGCGAGCAGAACAGTTGGCATCCCCTCCCAGGGGGCCCAGGCATATCTGGCACTTTTTCCTTGACCTTTGAAACCCTGAGGTTCAGGAGCCAAGAGGTGGTGTAGGACCTCTCCACCTGGTGAACCAGCAGAGGCTAATGGAGTTGGTGGCACCAGAGCCCAGGTAATGTGGCTTGGCTGGAGTAATGGGGAGGGTCCCCACTGGGGGCCCTGATTGGTCCATGCTTTCTCGGTTTCCTGGAATCCTGGTCTGATCAAGCCTGAGAACTGTCTCATGCATATCTTGGCTCCGTCTTCTGGTGTGAGTGGCTGTGACGTGGTAGGCACAGCTTTAGAGGGACCTGGTGTTTTGGCCTGGCCACCTCTATGGGCCTATTGCCTCTCCTTCCTTCCCTTCCCCTCTCTTTTCTCCCCTTCCTCCCTGCCCCCTGTTTGCTCTGCTGCTGTTCTGGGAGCTGGAGTGACTATGAGAGAAGCTTGGAGTGGGTTTGGCTTCTGTCTAGCTCCTTCCACAGGAGCTCTACATGGGCTTACACAGCCAGAGCCTCCAGGGCCCACGGTCTATTCAGGCCTGTGTGGGCTGGTGTGGGGGGATGGGGATAGAGAGAACCATGTGGGAGGACAGTCCAGTGCACAGCTAGGCCTGCCCGCTGTGGTCTCAGACTGAGGTGGGCGTCCCAGGGCCTGGCGCTGCAGGCAACATGGTGCCCAGATCTGGGCCTGTAATGAGATGGACATCAGTGCTCAGGCTGTCCCAGATGGGGGAGATTGACCTTTGAAAAGGGGCCCTTCCGCTTTTGCTTATCTGATTCCTTCCACAGAACAGCGGGTGATGTAGGAAATGTTTCCCTTTTATGGTTAAAGCCACTGTGATTATTAAGAAGTGACTGAGCCAAGGTCACACGCTTGAGGTTTCAATCCAGGCACCTTTGCTTCCCAATCTGTGCTCTCTTGTTCTCTCTCCTGTGGTGGAAGCAGACATTTTTGGTGAGCTGAGACCCTCAGGTAATCAAGGCAGCTCTCCCCTACCTCCCATTGGGAACTTCCTAGTAGCTGGGGACTGTTGTGACACTTTCCTTTTAAGGGAGGCAGGGCCTGGGCAGGTCCCCTTCGGTGTCAGGCCAGCAGAATTGGGCATGGTCAGTACTGGCGTCACACCAATGTGTCCGAGGCCTGTGCTTTCCCAAGGCAGTGTTTGAGCCTGAGGAGAGTCATGAGTCATTATCTGACAAAGAATGGACAACAATTATAAACCAGGCACATCTGGAGATTGTGTGAGGCCTGAGAAGGACACCCATACAGAAGCGGGGGTGGGGGGTGGCGAGGCAGGTGACTGTCAGGGTCACAAGACTGAGGGGCCTTGGCCACCTGGGTGGCCATGGGGTGGAGCCTGCCCAGCTGGGACAGTGGCCCCTGGCATTTCCTAAGAACTAGGGAGACCCGCCCTCTGCTTGCAGGAACTCGCAGTGAGCCAAGGTCAGGATGGGAGGGACACCACGCCTCTGGTCACCAGCAAACCGGTTTTTTTCCATGTCCCGTGGCTTCTGTGCCCCGGCTCAGTCACCATGCGTCTGTCTTTGGCCACGCAGCATGCAGGGACATTCTGGTTTGGCTTTTGCCGAGTCATTGGTCAAATATGTGCCTACGAGAGGCACGCTTAGAGCTCAGCCTTGCCTGCCTGTCGGAACGTATGGTTCCCAGAGCTAATGACCGTGGGGCTGAGGTCACCCCTTGGTGAATGCTCCGAGGAGCCTTATTCTACGTAGGGCTGCTGTGGGTGGTGCAGGACAGCTCCTGGGCCCTGGATCATTGATGTGGGATCAGAGATGGCCGGCCCCAGATGAGTCAGGCCGGGGATCCTCCTTCTGCCCATGTAGCTGCCACCTGCTGTGGGGGCCTGGGGAGAGTGCGGTGTATGTGGCTTGGTGAAGAGGAGACGGCTGGAGAACTGAGTTACTATGAGACAAGGGAAGGGTTCCTGAAGGACTGTCTGGGAACTTCCAGAATCCTCGGCCCCAGGAGGTTCTGTCAGCTGGAAGGAGGACCTGTGAATGGGCACAGTTTCTGACAGTCCTCCCAGAAGGAGGAGGGGCGTCCACAGGGATGGATGCAGGTGATGGGCCATGAACACGGCTCCCACGGAGAAGTCTGTGGGAGAAGGGCCACGTGAGAGCTGCTGGAGCCTGTGGGGCTGTGTGGGGCTGTGTGGGGCTGCTCTGAGAGCCCAGGCCTGGGAGAGATGCTCAGCCCTGCCTGGCTCTGCACCCTGGGGCGGTGATGACGATTGGTGGGCCGGCCATTGTCTGCTCTGGTGGCTGTACCCTGTGAGGCCAGGAAGTTGTTCTTTATATTTAGCCTTCTTTTCTCATGTGGTTGCTTAAGGCCTTCTATTAAAAAAAATCAAGTTACATTTTAAAACAAAAAGAAGATGACAACTAAAGAAAAGGAAGAGACAACACTAAAAATATCTCAGCACCACCAGTTCCAGTTTGGCTTTTCAGTCTTGAGTCAATTAAAAAAAAATGGCAGAAATAAAACACATGCAGGAAAGCCTGAAGATCCAGACCCGGGCCAGGTGTGGCCCAAGCTCTGGTCCAGCCTCTACATGCCAGGTTCAGTCCTGACCGTCTGCCCCTTGTCTGAGGCTGTGTGGCTGGGGCCCCTGAGGCTAGTGGGGCTCGTTGTGCAATCTGTGATGCAGAAGGCAGCTTTAAAAATAACCCCACTTCTCCAGACACTGGCTGCCATCCCTTTGCAGGATGTCCACCCGGGGCTCGGGGGACCCGGGAGCCCGCTCCCCACTCCCAGTGGGGCACACAGAACAGGGCTAGAATGCAGGGCTCAGCCAAGCGAGCCATTGACTATTTGTTCTCATGTCACACTGCCCCTGTTGCTTGGGCGTCGCCCGTCTGGTCCCCACTCGACCCTGCTAGTCAGGTGGCAGTGTCCTTGTGGATGTCAAGCTGGCTGCCTGTGCCTGCTCAGCTGGGCTCCCTGACCCCAGCCTGCTGGCTCCTGGTATTGTCTTCTGGGGCAGGGGTGAGGGACGGGCTTGGGAGTGGGTCACTAGGGCCTGGGCAGTGTGCATCTCTGAAGATCCTGGGCTGCTTCTCTGTGCTTTGTGAAGGGAGCAAAACCTTTGCCCATATGGCTTCTCTTCTCTGATTCTTTAGACTTCTTGACACTCCCTTGAGACCTGGTCTGCACTCCTTGACTGGGAAGAAGCCAGCCACGCCATACGTGTTCCCCAAGAGAGTCTCTTCATTTTGGAAGTTTCCAGAGTATCTGACTATGCTTCGGTTGAGTACCGTCACTGAAAGGTACATCCTCGCTGTGGGATTGTCAGGATGTTTCTGAGAGATGGGCGAGCGCCGCCCAGAACTTTGCTCAGCATGTGTGGTGTGGTGTGTTACCTGTTGGCAGGCTCACATGTAGCACCTGCTGCAGGTGCTGGCTAAGGTTCAATGCGGCGTCAGGTACTAGAAACACCAGCTTCAGTGCTGGTGGTAGACCTCACCATGAGAGTGAAGGTGGCTGAGAGGATGCCCGGTCTCACCTAGCCTTGAACATTGAGTGGAACCCGCTCTTTCCAGGGATGCTGAGCCAAATCCCTTGACTTTGTATCTACCCCAGGCTTCCTGTGTGGGGTTATAGCTGATTGCTGTCAGCTGCTTCTGAGGATTTTGGTGTAAGAAAGGGAAGATTGGACAGGACAGCTTGCATGTACCTCTGCGAACACCAATCCTTTTGCTCTCCCTGATGGCAGCCATAGCTGTGAGACTCCCCAAGACAGGGAATTGCTGTCTTGGATGATTCCTTTGCCAGCCACCTGGTGGGTATGGCTCTTCCTGTTCCCCTGGTGGATGGACAAATGGATGGGCTCAGTGTGCAGTGGGGAGAGCAGCTCAGGTCAGACCACAGGAAGCAGTCTGGGCCCTCGTTGCTGAAGGGTCTCAAACCCCAGGCCCAGGCTCTTTTAATCCAACACGGGGAGACTGGACATCCTAGACAGTGCCCCCCACCCCTTGCCACCAGTCATGAGGCTGTGGTACCTGGCAGCCATGGGCAGAAAGCTGGAGGTGTGGGTATTAGGATGGGAAGCAGGTTCCTCCCTTCTCTTTCCATGTGGGGCAGGCAGGACTGGAAGGAGGTGTGCCAGTGTGGGCATCCACCCTGGCACCGGAGTTTCCTTTTGCAGTGAGAAGCTGTGGTGCTGCTTGGGGAACCACTGCTATTTGCATGTCAAGAGAAAAGCATAGTACTTCTCTGCCCTTCCAGGGAGGCCCTGTGCTATTCCAGTCCTATGGAGGCCTACCCTGTCTTCCTGGTATTCAGGACCTTTGACGGGCATGGCAGAGGTGAGTGTGTGTGTGTGTGTGTGTGTGTGTGTGTGTGTGTGTGTGTGTGTATACACATGCATGCACATGTTGAGAGAAGACAGGGTCAAACATGGTTTACAAAGCAGGAAGGAGGTGGCAGGGAAGTACCTTGGACTGCCCCATATCCCTGGGAGCCCTGCCTAATGTGCTACAGGCATGGGGTCTTCAGTGGCCATGCTGTGGAGAGGCAACCCCAGGTCTGAGAATAATTAGGTAATGTTGAAAGGAGAGTTGTATTAGTGATGGGAAATCATGTACCTTTTTGTGTTATTGCCACTTGTAGATTTCACAATATGATGCTACCACCAAGGACCCTGGTTTGTCTCTAATACAGGTGGGGAGCATCCTACCACGGGCCTTAGATCTGTGAAATCACTGGGCCTGGCCCTGCTAAGGCGACTATAGGAAGGACTCGAAATTCAACATAAATAGAGCACCTGAGTTTTTTTTTTTTTTTTTTTAAATATTTATTGTACTTCTTTGAAAGGGAGTTACAGAAGGTGGCAGAGTGATCTTCTGTCCTTTGGCTTATTCCTCAAGTGATCACAGCAGCCAGGGCTAAGTCAGACAGAAACCACGAGCCAGGAGCTCCTTTGGGTACAGGGGCCCAAGGATGCGGGACCATCTTCTGCTGTTGTGCCAGGCACATTAGCAAGGATCTGGATCAGAAGTGAAGCGGCCAGGACTTAAACCAGCACCCCTATGGGAAACCAGTGCCGCAGATGGCAGCTTGACACACTACATCACAACGCTGTGCCCTTGCAGGCTAATTGTTGACAATTCCATATGGGCCGCGAATGATGTGACAAGTATCCAAATGGCTCTTGGCAGAGAAAAGGTGCCCCACCCCTACTAACGTCAGTCCTGCTTGTGTTAAATTGACATTGTGGCTCCTTTCTTTGCTGTTTCCCACGCTCTTGTCCTTGAGGTACAGGCGAACATAAGTGCACCCATGCCCTGGTGTGGGGGAGGGGCGGGTCCAAGACATCCCTCTTGTGGCCCACAAAGCCCAGGGTGCCAAGAGTCTGAAACGCCCAAGTCCCTTTGAGGAAATGCTATATATTCCCTACCCACATCCTCATGTGTTCTTCCAGTCTCCTCTGGATTACTCGTAATGCCTCATACAGTGAAAAGGCTACATGAGTAAGTAGCAGGGGAACTGCTTAGGGAGCAAGAGCAAGAACAGCAAGCATGGGCAAGTAGCTTTTATGTACGTTCTCTGCTGTGGTGGTTGCACTCAGGAGCCAGCATGCATGGGGGCCAAGGGAGGGCCTCTCCCCTGGGGTACTCAGTCCTCTCACGGTTGCCGGGGCCCGTGATTACGTGACTTCAATTCAGGTGTCAACAGGCCACAGGTTCACTGCAGGGCAAGCCAGGATGGGAGGCGGCCACCCATGGACCCCCCACTCCCAGGAGTCCTGGACTGACTTGGCCTGGCCAGGGAACTGAGCCACGGAGACCCAGGATGTCCTTGCCAGGTCCCGCGCCCTGTGCCCTGACCTTACTATCCACTGCTGCTTTTCAGCTTGAATCCAGAGCAGTGACCACACGTCCCCCTGCTTGGTGAGAAGGGGGGCGGGTGCGGGCAAGGGGGAGGGGACATAGGCTCCTGGCCACTGGCCTTCCTCCAAGACAGGTGAACTTTGTGTTCAGAAAGGAACTTCTTTAATCTTTTGGCCCTTCATAGAAGCTATTTGTATTTTCTGTCCTCTATTTTCCCTCCGCTCTGTCTCTCCCTCTCCCTCCACCCTGCCCCCCCAACCTCCCAAGAATTTAATCTGCTGGACAACAAACAATACTGTTATAAAACTTTGAAAACAAGAGGGCGAGGCCTCGCCGACAAGGAGAAGGGCATGCCGGGTAACGGCCTGGGGGAGCGTGCCAGGCCCGAGACGGAGCCGGGCAAGAGCCCAGTTGGCTAGATACCTGGGCTCCTGCCCCTACCCAGCCCACTCGCCATGCCGTCCCCAGTCCTGAAGGGAAGGAACTGAAAAGAAGGGGGGCATAGCAGGGCTCAAAAAGGGGAAGTTGTCTGTGTTCCCCTCCAATCTGATGGGAACGCAACAGACTGTGAAACTTCCTCCTCCACCTCCCCAACCCCCACCCTGCCCTGCCCCCGCTGTCCACCCTCCTCCTCCTGCTGCCTCCTGCTACTCACTGTTCTGGGGACTGAAGGACAGAGGTCCTGATAACGGACAAAGCTGGAATGGGTAGCAGCCACCTGCAGGGCTGGCAGAGGCAGGGCAGAAGGCAGGCCTGGGGCTCTGTTCCCCTCTGTGCCACCTAGCCTCCCGCCCCTAGCTAGGGAAGTGGAGCCACGTCATAGGGTGTGCCCTGGTGCAATGCGTGTGCTCCACCAGGTGTGCGCCCCGGGCACTGAGCCTCGTGGCTGGGCCCCGGGTTCCTGGTGCTGCTGCCTCCAGCTGGCTGAGCTCGGCGAGGAGACACTCTCTCCTTTGCCACGCTGCTCTCTTCCCAGGGAGACACAGAGGCCAGGCTGCACAGGCTGGCCATGCCCCTCTGGAGGAGCACCTGGGGGGACAGAAGCCTGCTTTCCCTCAGTGGTGCCTGGTAGGACGCTGTGTGTTAGTTACTGCCCATAGGCAGCCAAGGAGGGGCAGCCCTGCTCTGGCTGGGGGTGGGATGGTGGAGATGTAGGGGTGGGAGTACGGGATGGCTGAAGGCTGTGGGTACCTCCCCCTTGACCTTTGGGGTTAGGGCCCATGTGAGGCTGAAATCTCTTCTGAGCAGGTGATTTGGGTGTGACAGGTATCAGCCTTGCTGGATTAATTTTGGGTTGCATGGGTCTGAGCCTGTGAGTTACCTTGGGGGCATTAATTGTGCGGTGGGTCATAGGCATTCATGCTTGCTTTTCCTCCTGTGGGGTGCAGCACAAGGCTCTGCCCTTCTGCCACCTCCTGCCACCTGCAGGAGCTGAGACCCTCTGCCTGGGAATGTGGAGGAGTGGTGTTCCCATTTTCTCTCCATTTTTCCTTCTTTCCTTCACTGCTGTCTGTGCCCCATCTCAGACCAGAGGCAGGCTGGTCACAGAGCATCCCTGCTTACCCAGCCAGCAGTCCCCACCCAGGGAGATTTGAAGAGCCAGAGTTTTGCCAAGGAGGGGACAAAAAAACCTGGCATTTTTGCAGTATAGCCGCCTTAGGGAACAAGGGCCTTTGGACTCCTGCTCCAGGGCAAGCTGGAGAGTTGATGCTGGACCCATATACCCTTGCCAGGCTGGGACTCAAATGAGTGTTTGAGTGGCCTTAAGGGTCCAGAGAGTGTCCCTGGGGTTCAAGGAGGGCAGTGTTCTAGAGGCTGCCAGGAAGGAGGAACCTGGCAGAGGGGGCTAGGGACTGCAGGCCAGCCAGCTCCACGTTCCCGTCCTCTCTTGGCCCCTCCACGCATACCCCTCATTTTATCACCCTTTCCTCTGATTCATTAGCCACCGCAAGCTGGCAGCAGGCCCCACCCTGACAGCTAAAGACAGAATGTCCAGGACATTGGGCCTGGCTGGAGCAGAGTGTGACAGGAAGCTGGGCTGGCCTTTCCGTCCATGCAGACAATACCCTGGGACTGTCTTGAGGGCAGGACGCTCCCCCTTGTTTCCCAAGGGCCTTCCCCGAACCCTTCTGCCACTGGGACGGGCTCTTTCATGCTGCCAGGAGCCCAGAACCCAGCATTCCCGGTGGCGAGAAGATGGAGGACCTGGCTCGGCTTCCGGCACCTCCCCCAGCCTGGCTGGAGCTCGCATCAGTCACGTAAGTGGCGGTGACTCAGCACCCAGTGCTGGGTTGGGAGAGAGACGCTGCTGCCTTGGCAGGAACCTTCTCACGTCCTGGATCGCGCACGCTGTGGCTACACAGAGCAGGCAAGCAGGGTTAGGTTCCTGGGGGCCCATAGCTGGATGCTTGGGTTGGGGGGTGTGTCACAACTCAGAACCCCCTTTTCCTTCTCCTGTTACTTCCAGGAGCACCCTCCTGGGCCTGGAATACTTGGGGCTCTGAATGATGTGGATAGCAATCCTGGCTGCCAGGATCAAGTAGAAGCTGTCTGGCAGCCTTCACCCAGTTTTCACCCCAAGGCCCATGAATTTTGTCTAACCCTCAGATGTGTTTTGTCTTGCATGACTTGCATGGCGTGGGTTTGTGTGCCTAGAGGCAGCATGGGACCTGTCCAGGTCACCCTAGACTGCTGCTGTGGCTGTTTCTCCCGACATCCTGTCGCGTCCCCTGGACATTGCATGGAGTGAGACAGTCCACTCCGGCACCCCATCTCTGCAGGTGGAGACCTGGAGGCCCGTCCAGGGCAAGCGGCAGCTCCCTGGTCTCAGAGCTGGCACCAAGCAGGCGTCAGAGCCACCGTGCTCTGATTCAACGGCAGTGACCTTTCCTCCACCGTCAGGTCAGTGCCCAGGCCGAGGCGCGTCTGGCCGTGACAGGGTAGGGAAGCTGCCAGACAAGGGCTGGGGCCAGGGCCCCCAAGAGCACCTGCCTACGTGTTGGTTCCCTGCTGGCGGGCACCACTGCCCACCCCTCTTCAAAATAGGACTGCCAAGAGCTTTGCTCAGGGCCAGTGTGCATGGAGCCAGAGTGGGAGAATCCTGTGGCTCCAGGTGGGCCGGTAGGCTGTCTCCAGGGAGCATTTCTGAGCAGGTCACCTCAGGCTCCACGCCCCAGCCTCTATCTGCGCAGTTATGGTGGAAGTGCTGCTTGCCCCAGAGCTGGGTCATCGCCTGCTGGCCTCCTGTAAGAGGGAGGACTTGTGGTTCTGTGGTGGGAGTCGAGGCATGGAGGCATGGTGGGCCTTTGCGGGAGATCAGTGGAACCAGAAGGGGAGGAGCTGTTGGATGGAAACTGTTGCTGCTCTTTCTTCCTGTGCAGGGTCCATAGTAACCCAGCCTCACTCCCATACTCATCTTTCAGGGAGCTCAGTGTCCGCTTGTAGACAGGAGAAGGGGGAACCTGTGCCCCAGCCCCACCTCTTAGTTTTCTGTGCTGGCGGCCGCCTCGCTGTCCCTGTGGCTGCTTTGCTGGACTCGGGATGGTGCTGAGCTTCATGGGTCTCAGGCCATTCAGGCATTCTGTGACCACTGTCATCAGGCAAGATAAGTGCCTTCTCTCAGGAGGGTGCCTGAAGTGTCTCCCAAGCCAGGTAGGACCTGGAACCTTCCTTGAGCTAGGTGGGGGCACAGGACAGGGGTCTGGGAGAATAGCAAAGGGCGAGTGGGTGGAGAGGTGGAGGGCATTCCAGACAGGGGACGGCATAGGCAGGGCACTGTGGGGGTGGCAGCGGATCTCCCATGAGGATACAGGAAGGGGTTTGTGGATCCTGGCAGCTATGGATTGCTAAGGGAGAGTGTGGTCAAACTGAAAAAAGCTGAGGAGCCCCAGGTGTGACCTCGTCTGCCCATCATTTCATGGGATTTAAACCTTCAGTAATGGCTGTCATGCAACATGTTCCCCTGCCATTTAAACTCCTGTTGTTGTACAGGTCACAGGGCCCAGGTGTCGGCAGCACTCAGAGCCTTGGGATGCAGACCCAAGTGCTGGAGTCAGAACCCCCCCAACAAACACACACAGATCCTCCACCCTCTTTCCCACCCCCCAACATCTGCCTGCTGAGGGAAGAGAGCAGAGCAGTGGCCCTGAGCTGCCTGTACCTGTTACATGACCAGAGTCATGCTGCCACCTCCCCCCAGGTATAACGTGTCACCTGAGGGGACTTCTGAAGGATTGGGAACACACAGAATAAAAAGGCAGGTTTCTATTTATTGCAAAGAGGAGGTGTAAAAGAAACCCAATGACTGTTTTTTCACACGATGCTCTCCGCATGAACTTGTTTAAGACCCCACATTGTTTAGCTAGCATCATCCCGCCTCGGCAGTAATGCCTGGGGGTCCCTACCCTCATCCTGCTGATGACGAAGTTCAAGAACAAGAGAGGACGCACATACCTGTGGAGGTCACAGAAGGCAGAGAGGGGCAGAGACTTGGGTCTGCATTGATTGCTCATGTGGCTGTGAGCAGGGTGATTTAGCTCCCCTAAAGATCGGTTTCTTCTGAAAAACAGCAAAACCCGGCACGAACGCCTGTTTTTCAGGACTGCTGTGAGAGTGAAACAGCAAAGTTCTCGAGGTTCAGGTTTTCTTGCCTACCCTTAAAACAAACATGTTGTTAGTGCCTGGCTCCGGGAAAACACAAACCCATTTACAGGGATCCACAGAATTGGCAGAGAACCTGAAAGATACATCCTGTTCTCGCATCTCCCTCGTGGTTATGGTATCAGAGGAAACACTTCACAAAACCAGAAAAGAGGATGCAAAAAAAAAAAAAAATTAATTCAGAGCACAGTTGCAGATCTGATTTTCAGACAAATTTGAAAACAAGACAAAACTTTATTCTTAATGAACATAAGATAAGCAGCTAAATGTAGTTCCAGGTTTTTAATTCGCATCAGAGGCTAAATCAGATTGTCATCTTAGGAGTTTGTATCTGAGTGTTGTACTCCTTGTTTCTGGGTGGGAGGAGGGGCCCCTTGGGAAGTCGCCCTGGCCCAGATGACGCTCACCTTAGCCCTTACTCCAGCAGGCAGGTAGGACGCCTGTGCCTGCACGAAGTGAGAAACCCCTTACACACTGGGCAGTGCACAAATGCAGGGCTGTGTGAACGTAAATGTTAATGTATTCTGATACTAGCTTTGCTAGCTACTTCTTCCTGTGTGTTAGAATTTGCAGAGACTGGAATGAATGCATTTGTATTGCTCTCATGTATTTGGAGTATCAGCTCTGACTGGCATGTGGCTTTGGCCAGCCCCAGCAATGTCTTTTCTGAGGGGGCTTTCTGCCCGGTCACACGTCAAGCTTCAACAAGATCCACCTCCGCCGGCTTCCGATCGCACCTCCCTTCTGCCTGCAGTGAGAGCCTCTTCTTCTGGAAGCTGGTTTCACATGGTGGCTTAGATTTTTCCATCTTTGTATCTAGCACCATTTGAAATCAGTGTTTTAGGAGTAAGAATTGCAGCATGGCAGGGCACAGACTCCGTGGAACTGCTGCTGGGGAAGCTCCTGCCTCCTCCTGCCACCTGCGCCTGGGCAAGAAGCCGAAGGAAGACCCGAACAGCAGAGTCACTCGAAAATGCTACGTTTTCTGAGGGGTGATGGCAGTGGGGTGGGATGGGTTTCTTGCAGCCGCCCGAGCAGCAGTACAGGCTGCCATATTTTTCCTGACCGCTGTCTGCTCACAGCCGTCTCTGGCGCCAGACTCTGGTAGGACTTGGAGCTGGGGTTGTGTTGTTGTGGAATGCATTAGGCACCAGGTACTGGCCGGCCAGCAGATTGGGGCCATGTGCTGGGGAGCTGTCCAACTACCCCTAAATGATGCTCCAGAGTGTTAAGCTGTGGGTGCTGTGCAGCTGAAGTCAGACTTGCCACTTGCATGCAGGTACAGCCCTGGGGACGCCACTGGCCCATCTCTTACACAGGCTGACCGATTTCTCCTGGTGTTCAGAGTCTGTTTTTGTCTAGCACCATTTGAAATCGGTTATGATGTAGGGGGAAAAGCAGCGACCGCCACACCTCGTGCCGCCACCTCTGGTGTCCTGGAAGATGGATGGGCAGAGTAGGGAAGAAGGCACTCTTTCCTACTAACTGTAACTGATTTTATGATGGTATTACTGCAGAGGTAAGCCATACATTATCGGTACAAAAACAACAAATCACTATCATTTATCTGATGTCCTTCATTATGTTTCCTGAATTGTAGAACTGCTGTAAATTGTATAAACTTGGTTGCTGTTGAAGTATCTTTCTGTTAAGATGAGTCTATTCATACATCCTGACCTTAATAAATAATTTACTAGATTCAATTTATTATGTCTGTGTTTTTCATCTATTATTTTCCATTCATAATTCCATGACGATAAGAAGTGGTTCCTGAAAAATTAATTGACTGTGCAGATCCTCCCTATTCCATAAAGAATTTGAAGTAGGCTGCAGCAGACATTAAAAATGAAGCCCATTAAGACAAGGAATTCTATGAGCCAAAAAATAAAGTGGGAGAAGAGATGACGGAAGAGGAGAACTGTGGATGGGCTGGGCTGAGGGCGTTCCTTACCAAAAGGGAGAAGCGTCTTTGGTTCCAATCGGACTGCAGACCTGGCTGGCTGCCAGTCAGTGTTCCTGCAAGAAACTTTTGCTAACTGAACATATTGTCAGAGGGTCTTTGCAGGGAGCAGCACTGATGTCACTCGCGTCCCAGCAGATGGAGTTCTACTTTTGCCTGTGAGTTTATATCAACCCTTGAAAACAGGGTGAGCCAGTTTTGCAAAGCTATTCGGAGATTAGCCAGATTTGACTTGGTAGGGGAGCAAGCTTGGAGAATCTTCAAAAAGGCAGGCTCTGACCCCTCGGTGGTGAGGGCTTTTCCCACAGGAGGTGCATGGCTGGCAGTGAGCTACCTGCAGCACAGTTAGTTCCAGCCAGTGGCTTTCAGTAAATGAAGGCAAGTTGGCCACCTGAAAACAGGCCTCGCAGTCTTCCCCCAGATGGCTGCTATGCCCATTGGGCTGGGGCTGAGAGGGATGGGTGTAGTGTTTGCTGGGAAGACTTCCTGGGGAATGGGATGTGCCCCCTTGCTGAAGCTGTAGTGCTGTCGCAAGCCGTTGGTGGAAGAATCCATAGTCTAATCCCCAGGAGGTGGGGGATGTAGGAAGTTCGGAGTCTAAATTGCACATGGAGCTGCTGCTGTGACAGTTTGGGGTCTGTTGCATTAACACATTAAACAGGTTCTGATCCATGGTCCATATCTTGGACTCCTCATTTGTTCCTGTTGCAAATACAGATACCATGAGTATACCCAGGTGACCCCAACTCTGCTGAGTGATTGAGTTTATAAGCATCAAAGCACAAAAATTTCAATAATATGGGACATCTTTTCCACAGAAGACGTTTGGGGCACTCTCATTGCCAGCTTGATCATAAACGATGCCACATCAATGGGTCGTGAGAAACAGAATGTGCCTGGGACGTGTCTCAAACAGGGTTGCTTGGTTTTTCCATGCCCAAAGCCCTTTGACTAAAATTGCCATGCCGAGGAGGATTGGTTGGATTTTGTTTGTTTCTTCTTCTAAGCTTTTATTTGACAGACACAGAGAGGAGAAACACGATCTTCCAATCAACTGGTTCACTCTCCCAGTGACCACAACAGCTGGAACTAAGCCGATCTGGAGCCAGGAGCTTTTTCTGAGTCTCCCATGTGGGTGCAGGGGCCCAAAGACTTGAGTCATCCTCCATTGCCCTCCCAGACCATAGGCAGGGAGCTTGATGAGAAGTGAAGCAACTAGGACACAAACGGGTACCCATCTGGATGCTGGCACTTGCAGACAAAGGTTTAGCCAGTTAACCCTATGTCCTACAGTGCTGGGCCTCATCTGTACCCATCTGTGGGTTTCCAGGGAGAAGGGACATATCAGTCTGAAAACACACCTCATGGAGATAAATACTGATGCGTGAGACCAGTGATGGCTTTGATGTAGGGAAATCATGAGTTAGGCCTGGAGCCCAGTGACTCCTGGAGCAAGACGTTGACCTGGGTCTTGATTCAACAATGTCACAAGAAAGTGTCTCATGCTTGGAGTAGTTTAAGAGTGTAACCTTTATGCAAGAAACATCGCATCTGACCCAGTAGTGCTTCACCCTTGCCGCCTCTTACATTCACGCTAGGAGCCTTTAAATTAGTCAGCTTTGGTTTTCCCCACTCCACCTTGCTCTGCCCTGAATCAGCTCAGGTTTAGTTGGTCTAGAAATGGGACCAGGGCCATGGTATAACATGGTTTCCCTATGCAGGTCTCACTGGTAGCCAGGGTTAGGAGCCGCTTGTCTGTGATCTTCTCTGAAGACCCCCATCACTGTGATAAACTTTTAAGATTTGCTTGAAAGAGCAGCAGAGGATACACACCTTCCATTCACTGGTTCATTTCTCAAATGCCCACTGGGCTCTGTGGGAGCCAGGAGCCAGGAATTCCATCCTGATTTCCTGCGTGGATGGCAGGAACCTAAAAGCTCCAGCCATCACCTCCTCTCCCCCAGGGTGTCCCATAGCAGAAGCTGTGTCAGAAGCACAGTGGCCACTGCAGCTGTCTGCTCGGGGATGCCAGTGTTCCAAGCAGTGAGACTGAACTCAGTGCACCGCAACACTGGTTCCCAGCCTCACGTCTCAGAACAGCACACCTTTATCTTCAACGGTGCTGGAGGTCGGACTTTGGAGCCAGTGTGCCTGAACTGCAACCAGGCTGTGGGTGGGACTGGCCCTTTGCATGGGTGAGAAGTTTTCTTGCCGTTTTGAGCTTCTAACACAGCATTCTGGGGTTCATCCCTTCCTCCTATTCAAAGCCAGCCCCCTAGCACTATGCCCCAGTGGTCACGTCGTTATCTCATACAGTCATATCCTCCTCCGCCCTCTCATAGGGGCCCTTGTGATTCCTTCCGGGGCCCCACCTAGATAATAATGTCACAATCCATTTCAGCTGCACAGACCCAGTCACCATAGAGAGCTGCCTTCACAGGCTCCAGATATTAGTGGTCAGACATCTTTGGAGTTTATTATATCCACAGCCTACCACAATAAGCAACATCAAGACTCATTAAGCGCCCTCTCATGGCACCTGTTGAGTCCACATTTACTCACCAAGTGAGTCACCTGCACACTGAACCTTGGCAACGTTAATGCTACGAGGTTCTTCCTAAGAGATTCTTCAGTAATTGGATCCTGCCCTCAGCCACACTCCTAGAGCATTTTCCCTAGTAACCCTGTTCAGGTAGAGATGTGTTGTCAGACGACATAAATTTGCCTAACGCATTTGAGCATCAGTCGCCCCTGGATGCCAAATGAAGCCGCTCAAAGCAGGGCGCCAGAGCTCTCGTTTCCATTGACAACGTCCGTTTCTCAGGCTTTGTGTGCTACAATCACGGTCATCCATCCCCGTGGCAGTCTCTTCAGCATGAGGTTAGGAAACATCATTTTGAACAACCTCCATATTGTCTTTTTTCCTTGCTTGAGCGGAGTTGAACCCTTTTAGTTGAACGCGGCAGAATACAGTTGTTAGAAACCAGTTTCCAAATGAAACTAGGAATCAGCAGGAACTGACGCCTCCGCAGGGAAGGGAGTGGCAGGAGCCGCGACCGTCCACAGGGCGGCAGCAGTGCCACGACTCCCGGAGGCTCCCAGGGCAGCCTGCGGTTCCCTTTCCCAAACAGGCTTGGAAACCCTAAGGGAAGCAGCACCGCGAGCTGCGATGGGGAAGGGGAGAGGAGGGGGTGGGGGCCTGCACAATCAGGTTTTCTGAAACTTAGTAGACTATCTTAAAACCTGCCCTTCGGTACAAATATACACACTTTTTAAATATGGACAAAAAGCTCATGGCTGGTGAAAACATTAGCTGTTGGGCCTAAGTTTTGCAGTATAAGGAGTTGACGACTTCAAGAAGCAAATGTGAATTCCCGCTCATCCCAGGTCTCAATCATCCTTGCAGAAAACTCAGCTCCTTTGAAAGCTTTAAAAAATTTCTCTGCGTACTTTTTATGTCAGCCTAAAAAATAGTATTCTGGGACCTGGCATGGTCTGCCTTGCACGCACCAGGATCCCGTACAGTTGCCGGTTCTAATCCCGGCTGCTCCGCTTCTCATTTGGCTCCCTGCCTGTGGCCTGGGAAAGCAGTCGAGGACAGCCCAAAGCCTTGGGACCCTGCACCAGCATGGGAGACCTGGAAGAAGCTCCTGACTCCTGGCTTCGGATCAGCTCAGCTCCGGCCAGTGCAGTCATTTTAGGAGTGAATCATTTGACGGAAGATCCTCTCTGTCTTTCCTCCTCTCTGTAACTCTGACTTTCCACTAATACTAATACCACTAATACTAGTAATAATAATGTATCCAGTAGCTTCAGATTACAATTGAAATTTTCTAAAAAGCTTTATTTATAGTTAACAAAATGTCCACCCAGGATTAATATGTAACAGGAGGACTGCTTTGTATTTTTAAAACACAGATAACTTTGTTCAAATGGACAATAGTCTCTGAAATGTTCAGATTTCTTGAGTAGGCTGAGTTTAAATAGGAATTGGTTTGGCTTCTGGCACCTGTGAAAGTTTTCTGTGGAGAGACTGACTGTGGGACTAGGGGATCACACAGCTGGAGGTGCTTGCTTTGGCTGCACAGCAGAATTGCCTGGGGGCGCCTTTAAGTGTCCCATCCCCCACAGCTACATCCTAGTTGTGTTCCCTGCAGACCTGGGGTTGGGGGGACCCAGGTGTCAGCTGCACTCCCCCGGGATCCTGCTGTGCAGCCTCAGCAGAGAAAAGCAGGCCTAGTCTGAGAGACCTGCCACCTGATCAAACTCATGTGCCAAGATGGGGGAAAGGATTTTTGCCTCAACAGCAGCAAAAATCCTATTGATTGTCCCAAGTGTATAAGTGGTTAGGACTTGAGTTTTGCCTTAGTCCTGCACACACGTTACAATGATGCAGGAGAGCCATCTCGAGACGGGCAGGTGGGGTGCTTGAGTGTGGCCGGCGCTGGGGGAGGTAGTGGAGGCTTCGGGAGTTCGGCTCATGTCAGGCAGAACTTCATGGAATATGGCACTGCCTAGACAGGATGGTGGGTACTTCTAGCCACAGGAACAGCAGCAGCAAACACAGGGGCTGTGTTGCATGCCTGAGACCGGAATATTTGAAGCAGTGTAGCTAAAGGAGAGTTTGGAAAGAAAAGGAGAAGGCTTGCCAGTGTGCTGCTAGGAGGCTGGGGAGGCCCCTGTGGGTGTGGGGTCAGTGCACTCCTGGGGACAGGAGGATGTGGCACTGGGGTGGGAGTAGAGAGGCAGTGCAGGTGCCTGGGAGCCTGACACATGAGGGACAGCAGCAGTGACTGCGGGGGTGGAATGGGTAGAGATGGGCCCCAATTAGACATCTTATTCAGGATAGAACACACTAGAAATAAACACAGCATCACCAACCAAGTGTTTCAAAGTGTACAGTTTTATTTTTACCAGAGTTGGAGAGCAGTTTTCAAAAAAAAAAAATAATAAAATAAATAAAAGAGCTCTATCCATGGAGCTTTTCATTTTCCTGAAAATACATTTTTGCAATCAAAAGATAATTTCTAATTCTACTGCTGTTTCTTCCGGTTTAAAAAAAAGTAAACTGGTTTCCGCATATACAAAACTGACAAAATATGTATCTATCCAAATATACATCTCAAGCATGAAATTGGAAACATTAAATTTGAAGTAGAAACTGTCATAAAACTATTTTAAGACAAAAAAAATCTTTGTTATAGTGTGGCAAGTTTACAAAAGACAGTATAGCTATCCTTCTGAGCAGTGGCTACATTCTTGAAAAGTATGTGAAAATGGGTATTTATTTCAACTCTGTTTGATTCAGAATTCTTGTTCATTTCCACTCACATTTTCTCTCCTTGATGTAGCTCACTGGAGAACGTTCAGGACACTTAGAGTGTGAGCAATGACCGTGTCTGTACATAGCAAACCAAGAATTCCTCGGATCCACTCTGGATTCCCCAGGCACAGCCTTCTCAAGGCACTGTGTCTTGTGCCACTAAATACCAGAGCAGAAGTTTCTTCACTTTGCCCGCTGGCTCCTTGTACTGATTTACAAGTCACTGTGTGGCTCCAGGCTTGCTACAGGGCTGGGGTCTGTTTTGCCTGAATTTAAAGTGCTGGGAGCTGGGTTCACCTGCCTTGGCTGTGCTTGCAACCTACGCCAAGATGGAAGTTTTCTCCAGAGGTTCATGGCCTCGTTCCTGCCCTGCCTTCTGGGAGATGAGGTGACTCACGGGCAGTGCAAGCTTCCACAAGGACATTGCTGACCCCAACACAGCCTGAGGGTCCTTGGTGAACTTCCTACAAAGCTAAGCACCAGCAAGATAGTGGTGTGCATGCTTGAAGACCACCATTTCAGCAGAGAGGAAAAAGCAGTGACAGCCAGGATTTTGGAGTGGCTCCTCAATTTGGTGGATTTCTTTAAGGAAGCTGCTAGGAGACAGTGTTCTCTGGGTACCCTCATCTGGCACTCTGCACCTGTCAGTCTTCTCACG